CGACGGACGTTGGAAGGAGCTGATGACGAGCGCTCGTTGTGGAGAGACGAACGGACGTTGGGAAGGAGGCTTGATGGACGAGCGCTCGTTGGGGAAGACGAACGGACGTTGTGAAAGGAGCTTAATACCGAGAGTCGTTGGGGAGATGGTCACCATGGCCCGTCCAGAAGTTGCCGAACGGACGTTGGGAAAGAGCTGAATAAGTAGCGTTCGCAAAAGGTTTGAATAACGAGCGTTTGTTGGGGAATGACGAACGTACTGGGAGGAGGATGATGACGAGCGTTGTTGGGGAGATGGTCACCAACAGGCCGTCCAAGAAGTTGATGACGGACGTTTGAAAGAGCTGAAACAGCGCTCGGTTGGGGATATGACGAACGGACGTTGGGAAAGGAGGCTGAATGACGAGCGCTCATTGGGGAGATGACGAACGGACGTTGTGAACGGAGGCCGAATAACTAGCGTTCGTTGTGGAGATGGTCACCAAACGGCCCGTCCAAGAAGTGGCCGAACGGACGTTTGGAAAAGAGGCTGAATGACGAGCGTTCGTTGGGGATCGATACGAACGACGTTGGGAAAAGGAAACCGAATACGAGCGTTCGAACAAAAGGCTAAATGTTCCTGGTCGTGGCGTTTTATGTTTGGTCTTGCGGCCTGCAGCTGGCCCTGGGTGGGATTTCTGACCTAGATATCCCCTAGGGGTTCCACGCATTCCCTTCTCATTCCTCACCACTCAGATCCCCCTCTCCCCTCGTAAGCTTCCGTCCTTCTTCAGCTCACACACTCTCCAAGACCAAGGTCTCTTTACTCTGACCCATAAGCTCAACACCGCCGCTTCCTGTTAGAACCGGCTCACCGTCGCCTCAGCTAGAATCAAGCCTTGGCCTCGCCGGCGAATACTTCGCGCCCCGTACCCCTGCAGAACCACGTGCTGCCATCTGCTCCCACCGCACGCCACCGCGCTTGCAGCACACTGGCCGCTGTCTGCCAGACTGCCACTACCTTATGCCGCCGGAGCCCTCGTTCAGCCCAAGCAGAGTCCGCTACTCTTTCTCTTCTCGCGCGGGCCCGAAGACGGTTTCTTCTCGCTCGTCTCTCAAAACTCTCTTTACTCCACTGTTCTTCAGCCTACGCAAGACCCGACTCACGCCGCCGACACCACGCGGATTGTCGGGGGAGGCTCCAGATTCGGTGCAGTGATAACTGGCGACGGCCTTAAGGTGGGTGTTTGGGAATACTTAATATTTTCTTGTCGAGGAGAAATGGCATTGTTATGGAGTTTTGTGTATGAAGGATATGAGTTTACAAGTTTGGATTCTGCAAAGAGAGACATTGGTCTCTTGTTGAAGGTCGTGAGGGTCTTTGGTGGTTGGATGGATGAAGGACAATCTGAAGAGTGAACTGGGAGGCCTCAATGTGTTTTGTGGTGCGATTATAGGTGCCAGCGGGATGGGGTATGTTTCTTTGATGGAGGGGGTTTTCACGGGTGTTGGAGATGAATGAGAGTGGTTCAGAGGTGAGATGCATGAATGAATAAGATGGAAGATTGAATGGTTGTTGGTGACTCGAAGGAATCGGAGATGAAGGCAGAGGAAGGTATGGGGTTCGAAGGGGGTGTTACACGAAGAAGAAAATGGACTTGGCAGGGGCGTGTGGTTGGGAGTGATGAGCCGAGGGGTGGCAAATGAATATGGTTGATGATTCAGGGAGGGGACCCAATATTGAGGTTAGGTCGTGTGGTATCAGGTGTTGGAGATGGAAATGAAGAAGAAAGGGATGAAGATAATGGGCTGTTCCTAGTAGTCGTGGCCGCGAGGTAGAGGTTAGGAAACTTAGCAGTATGAAAGGTGAATGAATGGATGATGAGAGTGAGGATATAGGAGATGCGAATGGAGGAATGTGGTGGTTGTTTTGCTAACGATGCGAAGTGGAAGCTAGAGCAAGAGCTCTACGCGAATGGCAGCCTATTCGGCCTAGCAACCGAAGGAAGACAGCATAATGAGGGATCACAACTCGCATTAAGGGGGTGCGAGCATGAATATTGGATGTAAATGAATGGAAAAGTGGATGAAACAGTAGGATAATCGAAAATTCATACCAGTATGACTATGGATGCGGCTAACGTAAATTAGGGATACTTACCTTCAACGAAACGATTAGCCCTCTCCTTCCTCTATTGTGGACTTGCTTCCACCTTTCCTCTTCTACGCCCACCCCTTGCACTCTCCTCTCTTTGCCGTCAAGAAAATCTCCTCCCTCAGCAATGGATTCTTCTTCAAGATGAAGGCCCCTGGAGCTCTCCAAAATCCCCCTTTCTTTATGCTTTTTTTTTTCTTTTCCTGTATGTGCCAATTCTGTAGGCTCCAAAACGTCTCTGCCACCACCCGCGGACTCTGCAGAAACGGTTTTCTGCCCCCTCCTTCCAGCACACACGGACACTGTTCCCTCTAAACAAAAAAACACTTTTTCCTTCTTTTTCTCTCTTTTTTTTTATTCATTTTTTTGTTTTCTTTTTTTAAAATACTCATAAAAAATCCAATCAAATAATAATAAAAAAAACGAAATAAAATAATAACAAAAACATAATTAAAATCATAAAAAAACATAAAATAAAATAAGATACAATAAAAAGAAAGACCTATATTATTTGGTCACGCGGACGAAATTGAATGTTAAGACATATTCAAGCATTAAAACAAGGACAAGAAAACTTTAATTTGACATGTAAAGAAAGTGAAGAAATTTTCCGTCTAAACAAACTTAGTTTCCTTAAGCATGTGTCCCATCATTAATAAAGGTTCAATGTTGCCACAAATAATATTTTTGACAATAAAAATAACAATCACATTTACATGTCAATTTGTAACATAAATGTTTTAGCCGCTAGTATTTTTGCTATAAAAGAAGAAATAAATTAGCAGTTCAAAATCATTACAAAGTACATTGACATTTTCATTTTTTATATTTTGACAATTAAAAATTCTCACACGTGTATTATATTTTATTATCATTTATTTAAGCTTTTGAAAATGTTATAGAGGAAGAGAATGTTGCAGAGTAAGAAGAGAAAATGCGAAAAAAAAAAAAAACTCGTAATTTTGTTTCGGAAGATCCTGTTACAGAATATTTTTTCAAAATGTATTTCATATATTTCAAAAATATGATTCCGAAAATCTGATTCCAAAAATTCAATTTGGAAAATCTTATTTTGAAAATTTGGAAAGTATGTTCCAACAAGTTTCCGAAACATATATATAATGGTTATTTTAAAAATTTATAGGGTGAAAAAAGAAATTATTGGCGTGGCGGGAAGTAAAAGCCTTATTTGAATCATTTTACTATCTCTGGTCAAATAGTGAAAGAAATAAGCCCATTTTATTCAAATTGTTTTATGGGGGGTGTTGCTCCCTCCACCACCACCCTATACTTCCTCCACCTCCCTACGTTATTTTAAATACAATTATATTCTTAAGTTAAAAAAATTTTTACTTTTACCCTATTTTAAATAATTTGAAATCCTAATTTTACTTTCCCAGCACCCACCCACGGAACTCTCTTCCCCTTTCCCCATTTTCGTTTCACCTCCCCACCTCCCGCAGTTCCATTCCTTTTTTCTCCCAGTTTCTTTTTTTGGTTTGAAAGCTTCCATTACCGCCGTGGTGTGTGAAGGAGCGTTGCCGCCGTGGTGTGGAGGAACATCGAGGAGCATCCAGAACATCAACCAACGTGAGGAAGTATACATCAAAAGAGGTGACATCCTGCAACGAATGTCCCATAATAAAACAAACTCTAAAATAAAAAATGTAACCTTTAAACGGAGGTGACATCTTCAACGATGTCAACATCCGTTTAAGATAAAACGGATGTCGACATCCGTTTTTTCCTTAAACGGATGTTGACATCCGTTTTTTCCTTAAACGGATGTCGACATCCGTTGGAGGATGTCGACATCCGTTGGAGGATGTCGACATCCGTTGGAGGATGTCGACATCCGTTGGAGGATGTCGACATCCGTTGGAGGATGTCGACATCCGTTGGAGGATGTCGACATCCGTTGGAGGATGTCGACATCCGTTGGAGGATGTCGACATCCGTTGGAGGATGTCGACATCCGTTGGAGGATGTCGACATCCGTTGGAGGATGTCGACATCCGTTGAAGGATGTCACCTCCGTTTACGTTTTTTATTTTAGGGTTTTATTTCAAGGTTTATTCGAATACGAGGAAGCACGACACGCACTGCACCACTCCATGTACTGCACCACGAGAATAGGTTATTAGTGAAATAGGTTGTGAATGGGTAAAATTAAAAAATAATAATCCTAAAAATAAAATTTTAGTGAGGGACAAAATAATAAAGAAAAAATGAAGGGAGAAAGGTGTGGTGATGGAGGGAGCAACACCCTTTATGGGGTGGTAACAAGCCCTTACAATTAACCAAATAAACCCAAACAAAATTTCGGATCTTAGTAAATTGAGTAGAGTATATGCAAGAGTGTAATAAAAGTTGTGTTTCTATCATTTCAATATTATATTATTTTATATGGATGTTATTAATTATTTTCTACGGGAATTTGATTTTATTATTTATTTTCTTAGTACATACACTATCTTAACTCTTTGTTTGGTGGAAAGAACAGGAAAATGAAGAGGAACTTTACTTTTGATTTTGTTAAAAATTTGGAAAAAAACTGAAAAATGAATAAAAATTAAAAACGTTAAAATTATTATTTTACTCCTATATGTTAAAATTATATTTTCATACTATTTGTGTTGATTGTGTTTATGAAAATAGAGATATAGAAGGTGCTATATTATCTACCTGTTTCATCTTTAATAAAATCAATCAAATTACACAACTCTTAAAAAATATCCTATTTCTCATCTATTCATACTTTGTGAAATAATTAAAATTTTATTTTATATTTTACCTATTTCTTTTTTTCTTAACTTTGTCTTTGCTATATGCATTCTCTATTTCTGAGGCATAAATGATGAACAAAATGAGACAAAAACATGATTTCCAATAATTTAGTCAACAATAATTGCTTTGCAGCCTGTTATTAACCCTTTGGAAGCAGCTGCAAAAGAATAAAAAGGTTCACTATAGTAATACCAACTACCAGCACTACCAAGACTGATGCTTTGCCACATTCCTCCTAACAAGAATCTACTAGTGAAAATTGCTTTCTCATACCTTACCATATAACATTGGGATACATATCTTAGAACAAAGAATTGACACATTCAAGTGTCCACTAAGATAATTCAGCAACATAACCTTTCCCACTTTTGTAATACTCCTCTAAGACTCTAACTCAGACAACTCACTCTCAAAGAAGACTGAGTGGAGAGCTCTCACACACTGCTCTGCTTCACTGTCATTTACAACCAATGAAATGTTCACCTGCAAAAGAACAGACATAATACATGAAAATCAAACCATTTAAGGGTCTTGACATGCATGCAAAATCAATGTCTCTACTTTGATATACTCAGGATGAATACCACACACAAAGTTGAGAAAGTCAAATCATTTTGCAGTGGGGGACTGTGGATGAGGAATCTTTGTGCCATGAATAATATGAAAAAGTTGATCATTCTCCCTCCCTTTTCAAAGAAAAGTGTTTTTCTCATTAATATAATCATATATTCCCAAGTGCCTAAGGTTTGGAATCCTCTAGCACATGCAAAGTGCACACAATGACTGTTGATTCAAGCCTTTGCCTGGGATGAAAAAGGCTTTTATTCGTTCCATCAAATATGATGAATGATATAAAGTGGATAAGGGGATACCTTAGATGCACCCTGAGAGATCATTTGCACAGTGACTCCAAGGGTTCGAAGAACACGAAAAGCCTGCAGTAGGATCAATCAGTCATTTCCTTATGTGATGCAGTGTGTATCAAAGGTGCATGCAATCAGAAAATTAAAATAACAGAATTTAAAGGCAAGGCAAGTTTCCAGAGCAGAGTTCTGCGAAGCAAGAGAGGAATCTCTCTGCCCTAAATATCTATTCCAAAGATTCATCAATTAATCCTCCATATTCTTACAAAACGAAAATATATAACTAACTAACCCAACTCTGACAAAATACCATTAACAATCAATCCTGCTTCTTATTCTTGAGTCTGTGACTATAGACAGCTTATTCCACCTGGAGGAATGGTTTCTATCAATACCCTGTCTAATAGAATTAGCCATCACCTCAAGGCTGAAATTTGGAATCTTGGCACGAATGGTTGCTGCAAACTCTGAGGTGGCTTCCTTGACAGGTTCTGACTTCAGAAGGACGAGTTATTCTGCAGAATAGGTTGAGCCTTTGTTGTCTTGCACGGATAACACTACCTCTAGTGTTGGAAGCTCGGGCTCAGCAGATATAAGGCTGGGCTGATGGCAGATAAAGGAGATTCCTTGGTGACAGATAGCTACAGCTGGGACACATGCAAAACTGGGTGAATTTGAGCCTGGTCAGGTAACTGTAACTTGTAGCTATGACTCCAACCTTTACAGGATTTGAAATGCTACATAGAAGCAGAGAGAGAGAGCTTGGGATTGATGCAGCGAGCCACTGACAGCTGGTGATGGGGTCGAAGCTTGACATAGACCCAATCACCAATGTTGAACTCAAGTTGCTGACAATGCTTGTCAGCGTTCTTCTTCATGGTCTGTTGAGCTTGATGGAGATGGTACATCAGCAGGCCCTTTTCTCGAGACAAAGCATCCAGGACTTTATTTTTTGGACCGGGCTTATATATTACTTCAAACTGGAACCCCATGAGCTTCACGAGCTGGCATTGTTGATTTGTGGTGATCAAACGTTCTTGAAGAAGATGGTGGAGAATGTTATGGTCAGTAAACACCTTGAAGCTTCTTCCCAACAAATAATGCACCAGTGTTCCACTGCCAACGCAAGCATCCTTAAAAAGACTTAGCTTGGTTAGCTGGAAGGAGTGCCTCACTAAAATAAGCAATTGGTTGTTTTTGCTGCATCAACACTACTCCAAATCCCCTTCCTTATGCATCACATTCAATGTTGAACTCCTGTTGGAAATCCAGTAACCCCAAAACAAGAAATGACGCTAGGCATTGTTTCAATCAAAAGAATGCCTCGTATGGTTTGACTCCCCAATGAAACTCATCCTTCTTAGTTAGATAGTAAGTCATTGGGCACTTTCTCCATAATCCCGAATGAACCTACGATAATAACTAGCAAGGGCTAAGAATCCTCGTACCTCCTTAGTAGTAGTGGTCAATTGCCACACTACAATAGCTTGGATTGGGATTCATTTGAACTCCATTAGTGATCACATGTCCTTGATAGTTTATAGAGGACAAACCGAATGAGCTTTCTTCCCATTTGCTACAAATGGATGTGTTTTCAGCAAAGACAAGACTTCACACAAATGGGACAAATGTGTGCTGCAATCTAGACTTTAACACAAGGATATAATCGAAAAAGAGAACGACACAAAAAAGTCTGAAATACCATGATCATGGTTGACTGGAATGTCGCCAAAGCATTGACAAACCTGCAAGGCATAACGAGGCATTCGTAGTGTGCCCTTTGTGGGTTCAAAAGTGGTCTTGCAAACATCCCACCTTACATTCGAATTTGGTAAGATCAATGAAGCTGATCAATCAACTCATTAATAGTTGGAACAAGATATTTATCTACGGTCACCTGTTCAGGGCACGAAAATATACACACATCCTCCAAGATTTGTCCTTTTAACCATAATTATCAAACTGGAAAACGCACGCACTTTACATTCTATCTCGTCCTTACGGTGATAGACATATCCATACAGCTAGTCGTTGACTAGCTTGGTCCTTTAAACAAGGTGACAACATGGTCCAAGGCTTGCTTGGACGAAAGCCCTTGGCTAAATTGGAAGACAATCTCAAACGTGCTCAAGACTTCACATAAATTTGGTAAAAGATTTCACTTGAAATAATATAATCTTCACCGATGACCATTTTCTAAATAACTCCTTGGAGAGTTTGAGTAATTGATAAGCCAAGGAGGTGATACCCTTGTAAAGTGATAACTTCGCCCTTATCTTGGAAGCACATTGTCCTTTGATACCAATCAATGGCTCTCCAACCACAACATGCTCAAGATGATGTCAACGCGTCGAAGGTCTAGCACATAAGCTTCTACAAAAAGAGGAAGTGTTGACCAACCTTGACTTGAATGGCTTTGTATAGCCCTTAAGCACTTTAATTGATAGCTTAGTCTTATGCAAAATGGACACTACAAGGTTGGAGAGGCCACAAAATTGTGGGTGACACTTAGAGATGTCAACGGACGGGACGGGACGAGTAATAGCCCCCCACTACCCTCCCCACTAGATAAATATATGTCACGCACTCATCCCATATCCGTGTGGGTATCCATTAGGCAAGTATCCACATATATTTGTAATCTTTGCAAAAATCCGTGGATACCACGAATATTTACAAAAAAACATCTAAAAATATTTAGCAAAATAGTTTACCCATGAAAATCTCTAAGAAAATTATATAAAATATATAAAAATGGTATGAAGTTATAAAAAATTGTATAGTTATGAAAATTTAAAAAATTTAAATATTTATAAATATTCAATCTATAAAAATCTATAAAAGATCTATATATAAAACTGAATTTTAAATATTCAATCAAAGATAACGTCCAAACAAATTCAAATAAAATACAATACATTACTATCATAAATTTTAAACGAAGTCCAAATAAACTCAAATTAATACAAGTCCAAATAAAATCACAAAAGTAAATATATGTGGGGGTATTTTGGTAAATTAAAAATTAACAGGAGTATCTACAAGTATGGATACTATGATATCCATACCCACCCTGTTAATATACGAGTATAAAAAGTACTCGTAGCCGTTACTCCCGAGTCTCCATTTATAATATCTATTTTCTATCCATTGTGGATTTTATCAACGAATACTCACTGATACAAATTTTTCGTTTACATCCCTAAATGGCACCATTATGAATTAAAAGAAGAATTGAATATGTTAGGTATATTATCTTTATTTTATATTTATCTTTTATCTTTATCTCTTATCTTTAGTTAGTTTGTTATTATTTGTAGTTTGGGCTTAGCCCATATTTTTTCTATTATAAATAGAGGACCCTTTGTATATATTTAACACAAGGGAGATTAATTCCGTATATAATTTTCATTATATTCAACATGGTATCAGAGCCCACGGTTCAAGTCTGGAGATCGGGCTCAGACGAGTACGTCCCTCCATGATAAGGTGAAGCCCTGGCAGTGGCTAGTGACAGATAGCTAGATGAATCATGAGAGGTGGAGAGCAAGAGATGGTCAGTGTTGTGTGACCATGGATCGTGAAAAAGGGCAAAGAGATGCTCAATGTTGACCATGGTATACTCAAGGATAACAAAAAAGACTTCCGTTGTAGGGGAGGTAGGAGGACCATAGTCCTTTGTTTGAGGAGAGGATTGTTAGGTACAAAGTCTCACATCAGATAAAATAAGAGATGAACATGGGTTTATATACACATAAAATACCTCCATTTGTAAGAGGCCTTTTGGAGTGGTACCAAAAGCAAATCCGTGAGGGCTTGACCCAAAGCGGACAATATCTTACCAGTGTGGAGATCTATGTGTGTGTTGTCCCTCCCTACAAATGGTATATTAATCCCGTATATAATTTTCATTATATTCAACATGGTATCTAGAGTCGGGTTCTTTTAAGGAAAAAGTTTCTGGTGCCTCTGTCACTATCCGCCGCTGCCGGCGGTGGCGCTATCTACTATTGTCGTCATCTACCGCTGCCACTATCAGAGTTTAAGTTTCGATCACCGATCACATGGTTTTTATTGTCTCAGTCAGGCAACCACCATGTCATTAACGACGCCTTCATCGGAGCTCCTACGCGTTCTCAGCGCCTTTTGAAGTTATGGATTTGCTTTCTTTTTCGTCGTGCATGGTGGCATGTCTAGTAGTAATTTAGAGCATCGAAGTCGCGTTCATCGTGTGTTGTTGCACGTCTTGTCTCCTCTCAGGCAGTTATTCAGAGCATCGAGGTTGCTCTTTTTCCTTTTTCAGGTGCCTTGATTGGAGAATCTTTGACTTTTATAGTTTCTCTCTCCTGTTCATCCATGGCTTCTTCCACTGCTGTCTCTTCTAACCTCATTTTTTTGTCACCATTGCGTTTGACCCATCCATATATGCTTTTTTTCTCATGGAAAAGATGGTTTTTGTTAGTTTATTTATAGTCGTGGTAGCTCTCCAACAATTACCTCTTTAACCACTAGTGGCATTCCTCAAGGGCGATTTGCAAGAAGAGATTTATATGAAGCAACCTCCCAGATTTGTTGTTCAGGAGGAGTCTTCTGGGTGTACTTCGTCTTCTATGTCGTCTTGCAAACCATTAGCAATTTGGTGTCACTCGAGTGCAGAAGTAAATATTTTCACTAAGTTTTTATGGATTATATTAGTTACAAGCTTGGTACATATGATTTGTATCCACCAGCTTGAGGGGAGTGTTAGATATATTATCTTTATTTTATATTTATCTTTTATCTTTATCTCTTATCTTTAGTTAGTTTGTTATTTGTATTTTGGGCTTAGCCCATATTTTTTCTATTATAAATAGAGGACCCTATGTGTATATTTAACACAAAGGAGAAGGAGATTAATCCCGTATATAATTTTCATTATATTCAACAGAATATTCCTTCGTTTCTCTTTCAAAACTTGATAGTTTTTACTTGACCTAGGTCCCTTGTTCCAACTCACAATAGTCCAGGATTTGACATTGCCCTCTTCACAATCAAGTGAGAGTGACTTGTTGATGTTAGGTAGTTCTCGTAATGTCAATTGAGCATACGTGGGTCGAGTCCCAATGGCTTCCACATTTGAAGCATAGACCTCGACTTCTATCAAGGAGCTTCAAGTAGGACAAGTTTTGAGAAACACAATTTGATCCAAACGCTACATGACCCCAGTTGGTAAAATCTTGGATTTAATTGATAATTAAAATTCTCAAAATAATTTTCAAAACCATTGATTATCGTGTTAAGTCTAATACTTGATAATTAAGATTTTCAATATAAAATACCCATTAAAAAAAATAAAAATACCAACCAACAAAATCTTTTACACATACTACGTAGTCCTAATTTTTTACATTGTGAATAGAATACGTAAGAGTAAAGTCAACCCTTGTTGGACCCAAATAAATAATTTCATAAATATTTTCTTAGTTTTAAGAAAATACGTAACTAAAAATAGTTTTTGGTTGATTTTTAGGGGGAAACAAATATGTTAAAAATTATATTTATTTTGTACACTTTAAAGGATCTTAGGACAAAAATCGTAGGATGTTAATACGTCCTTCATGTAACCAACTCCCAAACCTAAATTTGGTTTCATAATAAACTATGGTAATGACTCCTTTATTCTTTTAAAACAAATTTCCATCATCCCGTTGTGACCCTAATTGTGACACCTCCCTAAGGATGATGACTTTGGTTGTGATGGGAGACATCAACTAAGTACTCGAGGCAGGGGAAGGCAGTCTAACTCCCACTCTAAGACAGGCTGCCAAAATAATACAGCTTCAATTTGGGGGCATGAATGCCAACATCTTGGTGTGTATGCCATCATAAACACCACACAAGAAAAAACCCATATACTAGTCTAATTGGTGTGTATGCCATCAAGGGGGTAACCTATGCAATAAGCACTTAGAATGGCTCCACGTACTCATCAACAAAAGTGGATTGATAGAGGTGATTGAGCTGTGAGAATGGATAGCCTAATTGGTGGTCACCATATATGTCCAAGAGGGCTCATTTGAATGTTTCCCAAAGCAAATCAAGTTCTATGTTGGAAAGGAATTTGAACCAATGCTAGGTTATTTCCACCAAGCAAATTTGGATGAGGGACATACACATTTTTGGGGGCATATTCTGAATGGAGAAGTACAACTCAGCCTTTGCAAGCCATCACACAGGATCCTCTCTAGAGGAGGGAAGGTCCATCCATTTCACTGCCAAAGTTCCATCGGAGGAGGGACGATTCTTGTTCCAGAGCTTGGACAGGAAGTGAGAGCCAAGAGTTGCACTTCGCTCAGTCATCAACAATGGTTCAAACAAAGAGCGAGAGGTAAGCTCCAATGGAGAGTAAGGAGTCTAGCTTCGATGAGTATGACACCATCATTGTGGATTGGGTGGTAATGAAGGCTCCATGGGACTGGAGTATGAACTTAATAGCAACAAGGTCAGTTTCAATGATGTCGAGATGCTGCAAAGTCATTCTTGTACTCACACACCAAATGAAAAGCTTCTCTATACACTATGTATCAAAGGTGCATTGCAATCAGAAAATTAAAACAACATAATTCAAAGGCAGGGCGAGTTTCCAAAGTGTAGCTCTCCCAAGCAAGGGAGGATTCTCTCTGCCCCAAATATGTATTCCAAGGATTCACCCAATAACCCTCCATATTCTTACAAAAGGAAAATATATAACCAACCCCACTCCCTCTTAACAAAATCAGTCATTCCCCAAATACTCCTCCTATTCTAACCTAACTCTAACAGAATACCATTAACAATCAATCCTACTTATTCTTGGGCAAAGGACTATTGACTGGAATGATTTCTATCATTATGCCACCAGCAGAAGAAGGTAAACATGGACAAATTAAATAACATAATCTTGCATGTGGACATGAATTAACTTGTGCCTAAAATCACATCATAAAAACCTCTGGTTTTTCCTTTTCCAAAAAAAAATAAATAAATAAATGCCCAAGGTTTCCCACGGAAAAGAAAAAAGCTACATTCCTCACCCAGAAAAAAGGAGGAAGGGCCAGATAGTTATATGGAAATGAAGCAATTAAATCTCCATATAAAAATTAAACATATGTAGGAACTACATTCAAATATAGATTAAAAGTGAACCTTCTCCAATATTAGTGATGACTTCTGAACATTTCCAATGAGAGAGATTATGGATCTATTCTGCAGGAGATTCACCACAGCAATTTTCTCTAGTTCTTCAACAACGTGATCAAGCTCCTGCTCAAAGAACATTGAATATCTCACTAAGAGTTAGATTAATTTTTCAAGCATTAGTAAAAAACTGGGTGATATGCANGGATGTCGACATCCGTTGGAGGATGTCGACATCCGTTGGAGGATGTCGACATCCGTTGGAGGATGTCGACATCCGTTGGAGGATGTCGACATCCGTTGAAGGATGTCACCTCCGTTTACGTTTTTTATTTTAGGGTTTTATTTCAAGGTTTATTCGAATACGAGGAAGCACGACACGCACTGCACCACTCCATGTACTGCACCACGAGAATAGGTTATTAGTGAAATAGGTTGTGAATGGGTAAAATTAAAAAATAATAATCCTAAAAATAAAATTTTAGTGAGGGACAAAATAATAAAGAAAAAATGAAGGGAGAAAGGTGTGGTGATGGAGGGAGCAACACCCTTTATGGGGTGGTAACAAGCCCTTACAATTAACCAAATAAACCCAAACAAAATTTCGGATCTTAGTAAATTGAGTAGAGTATATGCAAGAGTGTAATAAAAGTTGTGTTTCTATCATTTCAATATTATATTATTTTATATGGATGTTATTAATTATTTTCTACGGGAATTTGATTTTATTATTTATTTTCTTAGTACATACACTATCTTAACTCTTTGTTTGGTGGAAAGAACAGGAAAATGAAGAGGAACTTTACTTTTGATTTTGTTAAAAATTTGGAAAAAAACTGAAAAATGAATAAAAATTAAAAACGTTAAAATTATTATTTTACTCCTATATGTTAAAATTATATTTTCATACTATTTGTGTTGATTGTGTTTATGAAAATAGAGATATAGAAGGTGCTATATTATCTACCTGTTTCATCTTTAATAAAATCAATCAAATTACACAACTCTTAAAAAATATCCTATTTCTCATCTATTCATACTTTGTGAAATAATTAAAATTTTATTTTATATTTTACCTATTTCTTTTTTTCTTAACTTTGTCTTTGCTATATGCATTCTCTATTTCTGAGGCATAAATGATGAACAAAATGAGACAAAAACATGATTTCCAATAATTTAGTCAACAATAATTGCTTTGCAGCCTGTTATTAACCCTTTGGAAGCAGCTGCAAAAGAATAAAAAGGTTCACTATAGTAATACCAACTACCAGCACTACCAAGACTGATGCTTTGCCACATTCCTCCTAACAAGAATCTACTAGTGAAAATTGCTTTCTCATACCTTACCATATAACATTGGGATACATATCTTAGAACAAAGAATTGACACATTCAAGTGTCCACTAAGATAATTCAGCAACATAACCTTTCCCACTTTTGTAATACTCCTCTAAGACTCTAACTCAGACAACTCACTCTCAAAGAAGACTGAGTGGAGAGCTCTCACACACTGCTCTGCTTCACTGTCATTTACAACCAATGAAATGTTCACCTGCAAAAGAACAGACATAATACATGAAAATCAAACCATTTAAGGGTCTTGACATGCATGCAAAATCAATGTCTCTACTTTGATATACTCAGGATGAATACCACACACAAAGTTGAGAAAGTCAAATCATTTTGCAGTGGGGGACTGTGGATGAGGAATCTTTGTGCCATGAATAATATGAAAAAGTTGATCATTCTCCCTCCCTTTTCAAAGAAAAGTGTTTTTCTCATTAATATAATCATATATTCCCAAGTGCCTAAGGTTTGGAATCCTCTAGCACATGCAAAGTGCACACAATGACTGTTGATTCAAGCCTTTGCCTGGGATGAAAAAGGCTTTTATTCGTTCCATCAAATATGATGAATGATATAAAGTGGATAAGGGGATACCTTAGATGCACCCTGAGAGATCATTTGCACAGTGACTCCAAGGGTTCGAAGAACACGAAAAGCCTGCAGTAGGATCAATCAGTCATTTCCTTATGTGATGCAGTGTGTATCAAAGGTGCATGCAATCAGAAAATTAAAATAACAGAATTTAAAGGCAAGGCAAGTTTCCAGAGCAGAGTTCTGCGAAGCAAGAGAGGAATCTCTCTGCCCTAAATATCTATTCCAAAGATTCATCAATTAATCCTCCATATTCTTACAAAACGAAAATATATAACTAACTAACCCAACTCTGACAAAATACCATTAACAATCAATCCTGCTTCTTATTCTTGAGTCTGTGACTATAGACAGCTTATTCCACCTGGAGGAATGGTTTCTATCAATACCCTGTCTAATAGAATTAGCCATCACCTCAAGGCTGAAATTTGGAATCTTGGCACGAATGGTTGCTGCAAACTCTGAGGTGGCTTCCTTGACAGGTTCTGACTTCAGAAGGACGAGTTATTCTGCAGAATAGGTTGAGCCTTTGTTGTCTTGCACGGATAACACTACCTCTAGTGTTGGAAGCTCGGGCTCAGCAGATATAAGGCTGGGCTGATGGCAGATAAAGGAGATTCCTTGGTGACAGATAGCTACAGCTGGGACACATGCAAAACTGGGTGAATTTGAGCCTGGTCAGGTAACTGTAACTTGTAGCTATGACTCCAACCTTTACAGGATTTGAAATGCTACATAGAAGCAGAGAGAGAGAGCTTGGGATTGATGCAGCGAGCCACTGACAGCTGGTGATGGGGTCGAAGCTTGACATAGACCCAATCACCAATGTTGAACTCAAGTTGCTGACAATGCTTGTCAGCGTTCTTCTTCATGGTCTGTTGAGCTTGATGGAGATGGTACATCAGCAGGCCCTTTTCTCGAGACAAAGCATCCAGGACTTTATTTTTTGGACCGGGCTTATATATTACTTCAAACTGGAACCCCATGAGCTTCACGAGCTGGCATTGTTGATTTGTGGTGATCAAACGTTCTTGAAGAAGATGGTGGAGAATGTTATGGTCAGTAAACACCTTGAAGCTTCTTCCCAACAAATAATGCACCAGTGTTCCACTGCCAACGCAAGCATCCTTAAAAAGACTTAGCTTGGTTAGCTGGAAGGAGTGCCTCACTAAAATAAGCAATTGGTTGTTTTTGCTGCATCAACACTACTCCAAATCCCCTTCCTTATGCATCACATTCAATGTTGAACTCCTGTTGGAAATCCAGTAACCCCAAAACAAGAAAGGACGCTAGGCATTGTTTCAATCAAAAGAATGCCTCGTATGGTTTGACTCCCCAATGAAACTCATCCTTCTTAGTTAGATAGTAAGTCATTGGGCACTTTCTCCATAATCCCGAATGAACCTACGATAATAACTAGCAAGGGCTAAGAATCCTCGTACCTCCTTAGTAGTAGTGGTCAATTGCCACACTACAATAGCTTGGATTGGGATTCATTTGAACTCCATTAGTGATCACATGTCCTTGATAGTTTATAGAGGACAAACCGAATGAGCTTTCTTCCCATTTGCTACAAATGGATGTGTTTTCAGCAAAGACAAGACTTCACACAAATGGGACAAATGTGTGCTGCAATCTAGACTTTAACACAAGGATATAATCGAAAAAGAGAACGACACAAAAAAGTCTGAAATACCATGATCATGGTTGACTGGAATGTCGCCAAAGCATTGACAAACCTGCAAGGCATAACGAGGCATTCGTAGTGTGCCCTTTGTGGGTTCAAAAGTGGTCTTGCAAACATCCCACCTTACATTCGAATTTGGTAAGATCAATGAAGCTGATCAATCAACTCATTAATAGTTGGAACAAGATATTTATCTACGGTCACCTGTTCAGGGCACGAAAATATACACACATCCTCCAAGATTTGTCCTTTTAACCATAATTATCAAACTGGAAAACGCACGCACTTTACATTCTATCTCGTCCTTACGGTGATAGACATATCCATACAGCTAGTCGTTGACTAGCTTGGTCCTTTAAACAAGGTGACAACATGGTCCAAGGCTTGCTTGGACGAAAGCCCTTGGCTAAATTGGAAGACAATCTCAAACGTGCTCAAGACTTCACATAAATTTGGTAAAAGATTTCACTTGAAATAATATAATCTTCACCGATGACCATTTTCTAAATAACTCCTTGGAGAGTTTGAGTAATTGATAAGCCAAGGAGGTGATACCCTTGTAAAGTGATAACTTCGCCCTTATCTTGGAAGCACATTGTCCTTTGATACCAATCAATGGCTCTCCAACCACAACATGCTCAAGATGATGTCAACGCGTCGAAGGTCTAGCACATAAGCTTCTACAAAAAGAGGAAGTGTTGACCAACCTTGACTTGAATGGCTTTGTATAGCCCTTAAGCACTTTAATTGATAGCTTAGTCTTATGCAAAATGGACACTACAAGGTTGGAGAGGCCACAAAATTGTGGGTGACACTTAGAGATGTCAACGGACGGGACGGGACGAGTAATAGCCCCCCACTACCCTCCCCACTAGATAAATATATGTCACGCACTCATCCCATATCCGTGTGGGTATCCATTAGGCAAGTATCCACATATATTTGTAATCTTTGCAAAAATCCGTGGATACCACGAATATTTACAAAAAAACATCTAAAAATATTTAGCAAAATAGTTTACCCATGAAAATCTCTAAGAAAATTATATAAAATATATAAAAATGGTATGAAGTTATAAAAAATTGTATAGTTATGAAAATTTAAAAAATTTAAATATTTATAAATATTCAATCTATAAAAATCTATAAAAGATCTATATATAAAACTGAATTTTAAATATTCAATCAAAGATAACGTCCAAACAAATTCAAATAAAATACAATACATTACTATCATAAATTTTAAACGAAGTCCAAATAAACTCAAATTAATACAAGTCCAAATAAAATCACAAAAGTAAATATATGTGGGGGTATTTTGGTAAATTAAAAATTAACAGGAGTATCTACAAGTATGGATACTATGATATCCATACCCACCCTGTTAATATACGAGTATAAAAAGTACTCGTAGCCGTTACTCCCGAGTCTCCATTTATAATATCTATTTTCTATCCATTGTGGATTTTATCAACGAATACTCACTGATACAAATTTTTCGTTTACATCCCTAAATG